CTCTGGACATATCCTGTCCCGGCACGTCCGAGCCGGGTGGCTTCGCATCCACGGAAAAACCCAAACGCTCTCGAGCGGCGTTCACGCATCTCCAAGTGCTGGAGCTGGAGAAGAAGTTCAACCACCAGAAGTACCTGTCGGCCCCCGAGAGAGCCCACCTGGCGGGCATGTTAAGACTGACCGAGACCCAGGTGAAGATCTGGTTTCAGAACCGCAGGTACAAAACCAAAAGGAAGCAGCAGGCGTCGGAGTTCCTCAAGGACACGTACAATGCGGACGGACTGGACCCGATCGTGTTCTTCAGCTCTTTCTGTCGGGCGTACCAGTACAGACCGTACTTGTGGGACTACGGCGGGGCCTGGAGGCCGGCGTTGTGGTGAAAAACTAGCATCAAATAAAATGCTTATTGACTCTGCCAATGTGGCTTTTGAGTGTTGTTACCACAATAGTCTGTATTGGTTTCTACTTTGAAGAAAAACTGTTAGCATAACGATCTCTTCTATGGCCAATCAAAAAAAAAAATCTAAATACTCTCAATGGTCTCAACAGTTAGAGAATATTTCCGAGTTGCTTTCATGATGAAAATAATTCATAGCTTTGGAAATTTTAGGGAAATGCTCCCCCCCACCCCCATTCTAACGGCTCCTTGAGCACCGGGTACCCCCCCCCCCGCCCCCCTCCAGGACCAAATGAGTAGCCCACGGGCCTGTTTTAAAAATAGCTCTCTAATTATAGGGCATTCTGATTTCCTAGGAATGTTGTCAAAGTGAAAATTTGAATTTAATTTCCGTTTGAAAATGTAAACACTGTCAGTGATTTAGAGCAATAAACTGTTACAATTTGTATTTACCGGTATCTGTTGCTCGCTGTGTTAAATCAGAGTTCGAGTTATGGTGGGAAATCATGAACACCATCAATGTCTTGACAATTTTTCTTTCAATCCTGTTCATATTAATCACAATATACTGTAAAACAAAGAGTAATTTGATCAAATTTGTGATTTCAAAAGTGTGTATTCAACTGGGAGCCTTCGCAAATGAGCATCCAGTACTCAAGAAATAGCTCTCATTTTCAAAAAAACGCTGTGCATTTATTGAATTATTTTTAATATGAAACTTTCTGTCTTCATGTTAAAAAAAAAGGTGTACAAAATCTTAGCACTTTCTTGTGTGATTTCCAATAAAAAGATACCAAATGAAAATGCCATTGAACTCAAACTTTGAAAAAATGTAAATCAAGCTTTTTGACCAAACCCACTTGAAAAGTTGCAAGCAAAACGTGCAAAACAGAACACCACAAAGTAAATTCATCAAGTGTGGACGTGGACTTTAGCCCCATTTTTGTGTTGAATCTAACGTTGTGGCCGGTTCGAGATGCGGCTGATAGAGCAACTGTGCGCGCAGGAATGACAAGAAGCACTAATGCGATGACTCGGCGATAACGCCATAGTACAGTGAGTTGTGCAGGGTCAGGTGGTACGGCTGCGTCACGATTGGCTGCAACCGTCGGGAAAGTTCAATCCGAGTGGCGAGTTCACACGGGTTAGTCGTCGCCGATTTGATAGGAGGGCGAGTGCCACACACAAGAACATACCATGTCAACAACACGACTGACAAACATCTTAAAGAGCTTCCTCTTATCTCTGCGCGTGAGCATCGCAAGATGTCAACGTGGCATGAAGCGCAGAACCTGTCAACTGGCTCCGCTCCTCCGTGTGACCATTCCAAGTGGACCAACCAGTCGGTCAAAGCGGGTGTGGGGGGAGGCGGGGGCGGAAGAGACCATCTTGACTTTCGAGACATCCATATGACGACTTCTTATCATCGGCGCGGCTCTCAGCGTAAACAGGTAATTAGACATGAAGAGGGCAGATAGCGTCTGTTTTGACGGCCATGGGAATGTGACAGTGATCTAGCCGTGTCTCTCAGCGGGCGGGCCGCATGCGGACATGTTGAATACGATAAAGGAATTTGTCATTGTTATGCCCGCACAGAGACGTGGTACATTGTCCTAAACGCCATCGGAAGACCGACAAGTACAGCCTCAATCCGAACGTGCACCCCTGGAAATCGTATTAATGTACTGTATTCCCAATAGTCTATTCTCCGAATATCAGAGCGTTCCTTTTGGTGGTGGATTCGATACCGCGTCAACCTCATAGTGCAGAGGTACCACAGTACACTGTGCTAAATGATTGCGAGCCGGGGGATCATGTGGCATTTAGCATTTTTTTGTAACATTAACTGGGCACATTTTATTGGAAAAAAAATTAAATCGATTTTTTACTTTTATTTTGAAATATCGGCACTTTCTTGTGACTCAAAGAGACACGGTACACGGAGCGCCAAATCCGTTATCCTCTCATCTTTGGCACCTTGGAATCTCTTCCTGCAACGCCTGGATCAACTGGATTTGGAGGTAACTGATGAGAAGCACTGAGGCATTAGTATGTGTGCCTTTAGATTAACGACTTCCCGTTAGGAACACCAAGGAGTGACATGTTGTTTATTTAGGCTTGAAAGTGCGGTTAATAGTACAATGTACCCTTTACCGGGTAAGGAAACAGTGTACCTCTCACTATGATGCAACAGAGGTTTTTCATGATCCGCTAAAAAAAAAATAAGATAAAATAAAAATTAAAAAAATAGGGTTGATGCTGTTTATTGCCACTCTCGGCTGAATGTTGCTGTCTAAATAAACATAGAATTACATATTATTATTTAAAATAGCCACACAGCCTCTGTGACCATCATGCTAACATACAATGGGAAACTCCAGAGACTCATGGGCTAACAGTTAGCATCTCTGTAGCGGTGTTGTTACCTTTCAAGCAAAGGATGTCAGATATTCTTCAAAAGTCTTATTTACAATTGACCTCAATTTTCAATGGCTGATTTTTTTTCCTCCTTCCGGGTGCGAGTGCCCCATGAAGAGTTAAATGTGTCTTTGAAGACACAGCAGATCTCCATCAAGGGATGAGTAGAAAACCAAACCTGACCACAAAGGTAGCCTTTGTCAGGGCTGCAATGTGCCGTGACTGCCTGACAAATTTGGTGGGTCCGATAAGATGTTTTGAACCAGCCTTCATCTTTTCATGCGCTATCATAAACTTCCTCGGATAATGTAACAGGATCTCCCATGTTACCAGGCAGAGAGGCAATGAACATACTTTTGAATCCTGCCCCTCTAGTCGCTAGCACTGTGTGAATGTTTGTGTGCCAAGACCAGCGTGCGTTGAGAGAAGAGGCTGTTGTAAATTTCCAGCTCTTATCTTCAGCATAAAGATGTAAAGTAGTCAAGCAAATGGGCTGCAGATGAAGCCGACAAGGAGAAGAAGATGGGAGCGTCCATTGTCGGCCTCGGATAAACAAAATGATCACGGCCAAATCAGGGACAACTCTTCTACACCACCTGTGTACGTGTGCTGGGACATGCCGGCTCTGAATAAAGCTCGCTACTGTCTGCATCTCGATAAGAACATCAGATCAGTCTTGTTTTTGTCCCATTGGAGCATATCAGCAAGTATCTGCCTTCATGTAAACAGTCCAATAAATGACAGCCAGCATAGGAAGAAGCAGTAGCAGAATTACTGTGAGCACATTGAGGTCATTGAAAGGACACTTACATGGTCCAAGCCTCAAGCTTGACCGAGGTGATATGGAAAGTCGCACCCGTTTCTGTGGTTGTGTGGTCCAGGTCTTAAGATCTTGGCTATTTAGTCCAGGTCTCAAACTAGGACCGGGTTATGTGATCTGACAAGTCATCCCAGGTCATTTTAGGTCAGTAATTAAATCATGTGAATCCATTTTGATCCTTGTTCAAGATCATGCTCTCAAGGTTTCAAGCAAGTCCGACCAGTTTTAGGGTGATTCGAGGTTTAATGTGACAGGTTGAATGGAATCCCAGGTGGGTCATTTGGTTTATTTGTAAAAGTTTCGGTACATGGGATTTGGGTATCATGCAACTTGTACAGGTCTCATTCTAGCTCTATGCAAAGGAACACCGGTCAAAATTCACCAAGGAGTCCCACTCAGATTTGAACATAGTTCAAGATCATGTGATCCAGGTCTTAAAACGAGTCCAAGTAAGTTCTTGAAAGAAAAATCCAAGGTTATAGGATTCAGGCATCTTAGAGGTGCAATTGGGCTCACATGGTGATGTACAATATTTGAAAAGTACCGCGGCACCTTGCCGTCAAAAATAAAACAATGCTGCATATTTTTGCTAGTCAGCAGATAGCGAGCAGTTCTCCCCCCTCCAAAAACGAGGCTCCAAACTGTTGATTAGCTGCTCCTGAAAAATATGTATTTGTACACGAAAGAACGAAAGAGCGTACAGTAGACTGTAGCATACTTTATTCAGGTTTCCAGGCCCCCCAGGCGACAACGGGAGACAGCCTAAAGGGCTGGGGAAGACTGAAATCGAATCCACAATACGTTACAACTCCCAGTTGGCGTTTACTGTGGTATTGTTTCGGTATTGGTATTTAAGTACTTTATGCAGGTATAGTCATAATTTGGTGATGACAATACGGTTTCACGGTTTTAATCTAGGGGTACAATTCTCAAACATGTCCTTGGTCATGGGACTTGTTTGAGAATTGTACCCTGGTCAATCATTTTAAAGCTAGTTCATGGGTGATTCAGGTCTCTAGCAAGTGCAACAGTTCTAATGCTATACTCCACAGTAAAGCAGTCCAAGCCCTTCATGTTTAAAGGCAGTCCTGTTTGAGTAAAATATAGGTCTCGCTAATGTTTAATAAGGTTAAGTCATGTGACTCCGTTTCTCATTGTTCTGTAAGGCACTGGGTCCCGTTTAAAGTAGAATGCAATCCAATACCGCCCTCTGCTGGCACCACATTGGATTGATACAAATTAGACAACGGGCCTGCGTGAGCGATGGGAATGTAAATAAAATATTCCTTCTTGGCAAACACAAATTTGTTAAACTTAAATTACGACTGAGGCTTCGAAGACACAAAAAAAACATTGACCAAGTCATCATATCTCACTCATTTATTTCAGCTCCAGTGTTACATGCTGTCGCAGCATCGTCACAATGATTTCATATATGCATGGTCTGACATTGACATTCGGTCTGCCATTTCAGTTATTTGTGCGCAAAAAGTGTAACATATTTACATCCAAAAATACTCACATGCCACTATTCTGCACTCTGGTGTTTTATTTAGAGTTTCGTGACCGACGAAGACAACGTGAGCATATTTCTTCACTTTGATTAGACATGATTACCTCATGAAACAAAGATAACGCAAATCGATAAAGCTCAGAAAAATAATTCCCATTAGCTCATGGGAAGTGCAACTATGGCTTATATAGTGTATATAAAAAGAATGAATGAAAAAAATGCCACATGTAAACACCCAAACATATTGAAAACCTACAATAACGAAACAGTTCTTCAACTGCCACTGCACCGGTGGGTAGATTAGTAAATATGGGGGAGAAAAAAAAATCCACCTTCCACATTTGAAACAATGTTGAGGCAGGAAGAGACACACAGTGGTCACCACAATGTGGCTGTAAACAAAAAATAAGCCTCTGGCTCTGACTACGTGGGACTAATGGAGTGGGCACAATGAAAAAGCAGATGCATAGAAAAATGTCATTCGATACCATACAATGTCTTTGGTGGGTAGTACACAATGACCAAAATAAACACTCCAATGGGGCTTTTCTGTCTTCAGATAGGGAAATGTCTTCAAAAAATAAAATAAACGGAGTAAAATATGTATTTCGTATTTGATTTAAAAAAAAAAATCTGCAACATTTATTTATGTACAAGAGTCGGACCTCCAATAGCTGCCCCATGTCAATTACATCGGACCGTATCGTGTGTGTGCGTGATTCAACAGCGGTGTACTGCCGCCATGCGGTCCAGTAGAGGCGGATCATTAGTGAACAACTTTATGCAGACAGACACTCCAAGAATGAACAGCGATGACATAGCAATCAATGAATTGGCATACAAGGGTGGCAAAGCGACGTCATGGGTTATGAAAGTCCTTCTGCCCGTCCATTTGTAGAACGGAGCACTGCATTTGGCTGCAACCAGCAGAAGCAAGCGCCGTTGATTCAGTCAGACAAATTTGCTTTCAAAAGAAGTCCAGTCCCATGATGTCAGCTATGGGAAGTTGAGCTTCATCCACGATGGCATTTTCGACTCAGTGCAGCGTTGGCATGGAAACGGGAGTTCAGAACATTGGGAGAGATTATTTTGTAAATTGTTTTAAAATACAGTGGTACCTATCAATGTCTCATACATTAATTTTCCTCAGTGAATGAAATCTAGTCAAATAAGCATCCGTAATAATAAAAAATGTCCAAATATATAAAAAGCAAAGATTTTTGGGGGTGCAAATAAAAATATGCTGACAGACTGGCGCAAAAGAGGCACTTGGAAGTTGGAGTGAAGATACATTTCTCCGTGTCCGCTCGTTCCTTATAAATAGACACATTAAAGCAAACAAAGCAGCGTTGCGCTGCTTCCTTCTGCAGCCCTTAAAATTATAAGCCACACAAATAAATAAATACTACCGATGTCTAAACATCATTCAAGACAACGTTCTTTCTTCCATACACACATGGCCCTCTCGTGTGTAGGAAAGAATGCTGAACGATGACTGTATGAATGTGTCCCCGATTCTTTTGCCCTCGAGTGACGTCATCGCGGAAAAAAAAAAAACATGCAGACGTCAGTGCGGGAACAAGGAGGCGTGTCGCTGCTCGGCTACTTCCTCAAACATCTCGGAGAGACCACGTTCACTTTCCGTTCCTGGAAGCGGGTCTCGCCTCCTGCTTGGTCAGGAAGTACTTGAAGAACTCGTACACGGACCAGGCAATGGCCGTGGACGGCATCTGGTATATCACTCGGGCCTGCACCCCTTTGAAGAACGCCGCCACGCCGCCCAGCTTGTACACTGTCCTGAAAGTGTTGGCCATTCCCGACAAATGGCCGCTGATGTTCATGGAACTGAGCGCAACGTTCTCCTGCGTGTTGAGCAGCGTCTTGCACACGTCAAGCGGCGTGGTGATGGCGGCCGAGATGGCGCCGGCCGCCGCCCCGGACACGATGTGCGTGCCGGGGTGGTAGTGTCTGTGGGGGTTGAGCCACTCCTGCATGGTCTCGTAGGTGATGAAATGAACGGCCTGGAAGGGGATGTTCATGGTCAGCTGCGTGCTGTAGCTGCGGTAGAAGGCGCCCGCGCCCTCCGTGCGTGTCACTTTGCAAACGCAGTCCCAAAGTCCACGATAGGGTGACTTGTACATTTGCATCCTCTGCTTCACCACTGAGTCATGATAACAGAAACATATTTAGGAGGCTTAAATGAAATATTGACTTGAGTAGCACTGTTGTTGGCTTTTCACTCTGGAACATTTGGGAAGGCACCACGAGCGCGAAATGAAGCTTGAAGTGATGGAACTGGTAGTGTTTGTGGAAGAGCCAAACTGTGACCGAGTTACAGCGAAGTCCATTTAGCACTCTGAAAATTTTTGAGTGATAATTCACTGGTATAAAATCTATGTTTTGCTTTCATTTAAAAACACTTATTGTTGGGGTGACGTAATAAAGTGGTGTACAAGTACACTACATGTTATGTCTTCAAAATGTTAAATACCTGTACCACTGTTACCACTGCCAGGTGCAACGTACATTGTTCAATTAATAATTGTTCATAAGTATCCTCGTAAAAGCAGACATTTTGGGACTTGTACCAGCTGATGAGTGTTGCATAAGATTGCACACCAAAACAGTAAAAACAAATAAACAAACCAACCAAAGAAACATTACTTGCACATTAATTAATTAAACATTAAAAGAAAATGTATTTTTGATTTTATTATGACTGAAACACGACCACAAATTTTGGACTAGGCTATTTTTCTGGTTACGCCCTATTAATAATTCATATCAGTCTATCCTTTCCACAAGTATAGTTTGTATTTGTATTTTCAAGGGCTCGTGTTGTGTTGTGTTGTTACCTTCAGCCGGGTTCATAACGGCATCATGAAGGACAGTGGCCACACTGCCTGCCACACCTGTGAAGACAATTTTTTTTTTTTTTTTTTTAGAGATTATAAAAAAGGACAAATTACAGAAAATGGTCTTTTGAATGGATGCGTTAACTTGAGAGGGGGGCACAATATGCCTGGTTCAACATGCTGCCAAAACGAGGATTTTCGGGGTGGGAGGCTTTGTACCGTTAGCCAGGTGGCTGTTTCCTCCGCTTTTGATGACGCCGCTGAGGGAGTGCTTGACCCGTTCGTAGCAGGCGAAGTAGAGCGCGTGGGCAGGGCCGGCGCCCATCATGGTGATGTTGAGGCCCCTTAGCGGTCTGAGGAAGCCCTCTGTGCGGATGATCCTTCTCAGGGCTTCGTACACACCTCGATACTGGGCATTGGGTTCGGGCTGCAGGCTCTGCATCCTTGTCTGGAATAAATAAAAAGGCACTCATTCAATATCATTGTTTTATTTTTTTTTTCCTCGAGAGTGTCACAATTGGGATATGCGTGAGGGCATCAGACTTTTTCCAAATGGGGGGAAAGAAACCTGCCTGGGGTGATAAGATACATTCCCGATTAGGATGTATATGCTCTGCTGCAAACAAACAAGATTATTATTTTTTTGAATAGAAAACAAAGTTGCAGTTGGGGATCACAAATAAGAGAAAAGGGCTGAATTTGGATATCCGCTGTCAGCCAAACACGACTTTCGGGACGCATTGTTGCCTCAAAAGTAGTCACATCGTTGTGACAGCTGAGGGCTCTTTAGTCGGAGGGATGACGACCTGGTGTGTGAGGACGAAGCATCGCTTTGTTTTCGTCCAGCATGCCAAGTTATCCGCGCAGCACAAAGCCTGTTTTTATTTGCAGGGAGATGAAGCCGCCGCTGGCTGGGAAAGATAGGCCCCGCTCTATCTTCCTCGGCACGTTCTAATGCGTTTCCTTCCTTTTTGCGCTCACAATGAACTACAATTACATTTCCGTTTAATTCAGATGCGGGAACTTGCGGCAACACAAATCGTGGCTGATGTTGATGTGTGTCAATCTTTGCGGCACCAACCACATGATGGTACAGGGAAATGAGTCACTTTGTGATTCAGATCCAATCAAAGTCCTTAAAATAAACGGAATGAGAATGTATACTGAACAGAGAATACCGATCGTCCCAAAATGAAAAACATAACTCCAGGAAGTGGCGCTACATCCACACTATGACACAACTCCTCCAGGCGGCAGTTGTTCTTCTTTTCAGTGCAACACTGGCACTGAAACAGTTGTGAACATTTAGACATTCTCCCATCGCTTCAAAAAAAATACGTAACCAAATAACTTAAAGTATCATTTACCCACAGATTACGCACACCACAATGAGCAGAGCAGTGCGTGGGACATGACGAAATCACGTCGAACCAACAGCAGTAAAAATAGTTTGAGGAAATGCATTATAAAAGATTGCGCATGGTACGCGCCTGTGCGCAAATGTTTGGCTACTTGCAATACAATGACTCATAATTTCATTCTTCTGCCACATCTTATGATGACAGAGTCATTCTAACGAGGAGAGCAAAAGGCATTTCATCGTGATATTTACCCTTTCATTGTTTTGCTGTTTGATTTAGGGGGAGAACTTAAAAAGACTGAAAATGTTACTTGTCTACAGTTTTCTGACACAGGTTGTCTGTTTGAGCAAAAGTATATGAAATACAGTTCTGGCCGCAGTCTTCCACTACCCAGTGTTAAACCATGTCAAAGTTGTCGCAGTACCTCAACCCCGGCCGTTTTTAATCAATACTGCACAAGGGCGCTGACGAGCACACACCCTTCACTGCGTGAGGCCGATTTCAAGAGTGTGGAGAACAGATAAGCATCCCCCCCACCACCACCCGTACACACCCTTCACACTACTGGCGTAAAAACATTAGGTGTGCCCTCGACTGAGATCTCGGGAAGTGAAGTCATTATTCGGCAGGTCCACCGGACTCCAAATAAACACACCTAACATTTATTGACATCAGAAGCTCTGCTATGACTGCAGAAGTTTACGGCGCCTGAAACAAAAATCCAAATGAGCTCAAGAGGAAATGGCATAAGGAGTTTGAGTAACGGAGGACAGTTTGGCAAGACGGCACAAGAGGATATCATCTTGATGAGTGACGGTTCTTGACGCCACTTGATCAACGCAAAACCACGACATTATCTTCATTATAGATGGAGGAGGCGGCCCTCCCTTTTTCCTAATAGGAAATAACAAATACTTATACTGTACTGTACGAAATATCTGTCAATATGAGGTGCATCACAAAACCTGTTTTAACTGCAATTGTTTGAAGTCACGTGTGATTTGTGAGCATTCTTAATTGTAAAATTTAGAGATAATCTTACCTTTTAATAATGAAGGTGTGGGTCACTTTTTAAACGCTCCTATATGTCATACATGCAAAGACAGACCACTAGTGGTGTTCCTGCACCAGCCGTTTGCCCCGGATGAGCAAAGTAAGCTTTATCTGGAGCCATTTTTTTTTTCTTCACTCATCTCTACTTGGGGGGTAGGCGTAGGAATAAACCTCACTATTGTCAATTTCGTTGATCTTATTGTGAGAACTGTGGCCCTTCGCCATTTGAACAGGGGTGTGTTGGCTTTGTATATCCGGTGAAGCTTCCTTTCACCTTCTCTCTAACATAGTTTAATTGATTGTGCTAACAGAACTAAATGGAAAAGTTAAATATACCTGCTACTGCTTTTCTTTATTGAACGAACAAATGTGAGCTGAGCGTTTCTGTTTTCATATATAGCCTATGCAGTTGATGCAGTAAGGTACAAATGGCCAGATGAAACGTTTGAAGCGAAAAGTTTGCTTCTTTGCAAATGTGAACGTTTCATGGTGTTGCGTCACCAAGAGCCAATCGCCATTGAGAATGTCGCAGCAGCACAGGAACAAACACACACACACACACACACAACATGGTGAAATAAAACAATGTCGGACAATATCATTGCAGTCTGAGGGGCTGAGAAGTATACGACACAGCCGGCCTCCAAAAACGGCGCGGGCCCGAACCAATAAAGTTGCAGGCTCAGAGAATGCGGAGCGAGGAAGTTGGTGAGTGGATTAATTCGTTCACTGCTGTTAAACTGTCAATCAAAGGATTTGGCAGCCAAAGTACACAATCACCAGTCACCAGACTGGCAATGTTCAAACTTCTTTTTTTTTCATATGTCAGAGGAGAAGGAGGAGCATATACTCTTCTCCGCTGACAGGAAGCACCATCCATGAAATTCCCCTTGCGAACAAACGCACACGAGACATGGAGCTTAATAACACTTACTAAGAACACTTTTTTGCCTACTTTCCATTTTATTATATAATTACATTCACATGATAAAGTGCAATATTTTTTTTCTAAAAACATGAAATAAAAAAAATGTGGGAAGTTTTGGTGTGGTGGCACGGATTAATGTAATTTGTATGCTTTGCTTTTCAATGGAGAAAGTTGATTTGAGATGGGAGTGATTTGAGTTTGTTAGCATTAAATGCCATTATACTCGCAAGTAAAGGCACCGCTGTACTGGGTAGCGTTAAGATATACCAAGTTAATTTTAATAACTACATTGTTTATGAAGTCTCTTGCTGGGCGTCAATGGAGACTAGTAGTCAAGCAAACTTACAAGTCACACTAACAGCGGGAAAATGAGGAGACACGCGAACGGAAAAAAAATGAAGACATCATTTTTTTCATGCTATCCACGACAGCAGGTTCTCTCTTAACTCGCTTCCTGAAATGAGCTAAATAACACAAGCTAACAGTGGACAGGCAGGTTGAATAGTTTAAAGCTAATGCTTGTTAGCTAAGAACTGGAGTAGCCAGCTGACAAACCGTCCGCGGTGCCGTGACCTTCAGACGAAGAATAACGTCCACGTTGGGGGTGTGAGACGGGTTAGGGGGAGGTGCGGCGGTGCGGTTGGTAGTGAGTCAGTTACCTTGACGGAGTCCACGGGGTACATGACCGTGTGCTCCAGCACGCCAGCCACTGCGCCCGCTGTCATGTGCGTCGTCACCGAGACATGAGGCGGCAAACTCTCGTAGTCGCCGTCAATGGGCTGGCCGCCTTGGCTCACCGTCTGCGACATCTCTAGCGGTGCCAGCACACGCTCTGAGCTCAACTCCATGCGTGGCGAGTTTATCAGCGAGTTGTCCGCAGCATGGACCGCCACAACATCTTGGGTCGTCACCACTCACTGGAGTAGGAGAGCCGAAGTGACGTTTCCCCGAATAGGCGTGGTTGGCTCCAAAATTCACCAATCGAATTATGGATACTTGCGAATGGGGCGGGCTTTTGGACTTGTGGTGGCCAATGAGAAGTTTTCTCTCTGACACTTGGTTATCCCCGCGATCGCGCAATCTCTGATTGTGACTTTTAAAAAGTGAAAAAAAAGCAACATTTTTCAAGGAATTTTCGTCGAGTTTTTTTGACATGCACCTTTTATTCAAAATATGTTTATATTGTAAATTTAAATAAATTCAAATCAAAAACCAATAACTTTTGTTGTACTATATAAACAATAAATCAAAATTAAACACTAAAAAATTAATTACATTATTGATAATACAGTGGCATACAGTAAAATCAAATAAAACAAGATAGTTTAGACGGAGAGGAGCACTTTCTGGGTGAAAAGTAGTTCTATCTTGATATTTTCTGAGACTTTCGAATGAGTTTTACAACACACTGCTACTGGAATAGATAAGTGGGGTTCGGCACCTCAGGAGACAGCCTGATAACATGGATTGTAATACATATAGTAGTCAAATCTATGAAGTCCGCAACATTGTGCTTTCTCCTTTCCAACGACTGTAAATGGAATGCAAAGGGGAATGGAAAATTTATATGCGTGTAATTAAAAGGGTGAAATCATCTGCAAACCTATTTCAGTCATGACTAAAAAATAGACATTCATATTTGCAATGAATGGAAAACTATAATGATAAAAACAAAAAAGTATTGAAATGAGTGGAAACATTGACCTTGTGGATTTAATAACTGAACACACATATCAGTCTATAACAATGACATCACATTAATTAACATGACCATTATCTTTGCTTTTGAAATGAACATTTTTATTCCCAAATTGTCCGATTTGTGCATTTTTGCAAGGTTTCTTGCAAATTGTTTCAACAGTTTTTCAATTGGGCAGCACATCTGCCTTTCATTTGTGAGGTTGAGTTTTCAAATCCCTACTCTGGCCTATTTTATGTGAATTGCACATCTCATGCTTGTGTAAGCTTCCCTCCAAAACAACCAAGTTAGCTTTAAAAAAGGGCGAATGATTGTCTATGTAATGACAGCTAGGATAGGCTCCAGTTCACTCGTGACAATAATGAGAACAAGTTGTACAAAAAAAAAAAAAAAAAAAAAAAGGGGGGAGGGAAAACGAACGAAAACCCCTCACGAAACGTTGCACTTCATGGTTGAGGGATCATATTTGGAGAAGGGAGAGGCAAATCAAATGGTTGTCTTTTCTCATCTCCTCGGGCAAGAGAAAACTCATACCACAACCTTTTTATTGGCATATCGCAGTCCGACAAACATTTCATGACACCAATTGTGCATAAATAACATGTTACATGCACTTATAATAATCATCATGAGTCCTACGACCGCTTCTGAAAATGAAGCGCACCATAAATAGCCGCACCAGCCCTCATACGTTTGACGTTACAGCAATAACGAGACATAAGAAAAACAGCAGGCCTATTGAATAGAAGAGTGTTTTGAAGGAGTCCAACAGTGACAAGACATGTGCACGAGTGTTGCGTCCGATTCTTTTGCGCGCGCACGCACACAATTGTACCGGCACGGGCAGTATTAAACATTTGCAGTGCTCCTGCCGCTTAAAGATGGATTATTTGGCGTTAAATGCGAATTATAAGGTTAAAAAAAATGTTCCTTAAAAACACAGAACGAAGAGATCACCCACACAAAAAAAGTCCAACCTTTGTATATTGTTTAGTTTCTTCTGTAGGAAAATACAACCATTTCCTCCACCTGGTTTGTAACATGACACAAAGACAATAACTGACACTTTTTTGTGGCTCAGTAAGGCTCAGTAAGTCTGAAATGGGAACTTCCTGGCCAAGAAACCTCAAAAACCAAATGGCAAACCTTTGTATATTGTTTAGTTTCTTCTGTAGGAAAATATAACCATTTCCTCCACCTGGGTTCTAACATGACACAAAGACAATAACTGACACTTTTTGTGGCTCAGTAAGGCCCGAAGTCTGAAATGGGAGCTTCCTGGCCAAGAAACCTCAAAAACCAAATGGCAAGCGCTTGCACCGGTGTTTAGAGGTTGATGGGGAGCGTCGGTGATCCCAAGCCATCCTCCAGCCATGGCACAGAGGAAGGGGAGCAGCGCTGCGCGGCGCGTCGGTGGATTCGGCGAAGTCGCAGCATGTACAAGATGATTGACAGGAGAACGATGAAGAAACAAACCAGGAATAAGTAGTGGTTGTTAACGAAGGAGAAGCTGTGCCGCCAGTGAGAGTGCACTCCTTTCAGACTTTCCTGCTGGATGTCCCTGGAGGGGGGAAAAAAAAAGAAAAATGAAGCTCATGACTTCATAGAACTCAATTCTCGGCATACGGAGAACTAAACGCTTCCTCAGAGCCTCACACGGCGCAATGTTTACCGCGGATAAACATGAACAACATCAAAACAAAGACACCAGCTTTCATAAGTACATTAAAAAAAATCTCCAAAATCGCAGAGACACTAAATAAACAATACTTGTTGAACATAGCAGAACGATATCACAAGAGAGAAGGTTAAATATTTAATAAGTGTAGCAAAATGAGAAAAAAAAAATTTCCCTTGATAATATCGCGAGAGCATCAGCCTCAACGCCGGGAGATTCTCGGGTTCGAATATGGGCACCTTGGAGGGGTTTGCATATTTTTTTTTTTCCTTTTTCTTTTCTGGTCAACTAACTTCCTCCCACGTTCCAAAAACATGGATATTATGTTCACTAAAAATTTTAAACTGTCTTTAAGTATGAATATGAGTGTCAATGTTTAGTCAATGCGTGCCCTGTGGTAATGTACGCCACCTTTTGACCAAACGAACAGAAAATGGAAAGAATGGAATGCAACTTTACCCAAATGAAAGCCGAGCTTACCTCAAAGGTAAAAAGCGTGTTCGGAAGAGAATGGCTCCGAGAGTCCACTGGACTTCCTTATCGTAGACTAAAAATGCAGTTTTCAGGTTTTTATAGTCAGGCGGGAAAGAGAAGCCCGAGTGTAATACTTCATACATCCATGCAGATTTAAAACACTGATACCTGTGGACATATATGACAATTTTTCGTGTCAATTGTTGATGCACATTTAAGACACAAAATCTGCCTTGGCAAAATTATGAGGGAGAAACTTACTGGAGTCTGTGGAGATCAGCGTGGGAAGCGTACAAACCCGAGTCAAAGCGTTCCCTCAGAGTCTTCCACTGGGTGGCACAGTAACTCTGAAAATGTGAAACTACTTTATCAGCAAGTCATCACAAGACGGTTATCTTTTTTTTTTTTGTGTATTTATGCATACGCGTGCACACTGACAGTCGAGTATTAAGCTTTGTTAACAGTCAGCGTTTGAGGACAATTTGTGTAAACACAAAACTTTAATACTTTATTTGCTTTTGAGTTGAATGTTTTAACAATCACATTTACAGGTAGACACCTTTAAGATTGGTTGCTGCTCTTCAAATACTGGTTTTGCTAATGAGTCTGAGATTACTTTTCTCTCCTTTTCATAGCGGCACCACCAAAGTCAAATTAAATATGCTTGACACTTGTTTGAATTGCAAAAAAAAAAACAAACAAAAAAAAAAACAAACAAAAAAAAAAACAAACAAAAAAAAAAACAAACAAAAAAAAAAACAAACAAAAAAAAAAACAAACAAAAAAAAAAACAAACAAAAAAAAAAACAAACAAAAAAAAAAACAAACAAAAAAAAAAACCCTACAACAGTATTCCTAGCATCTGTTGCTACTTATTACTCTCAACTCATTCATTAATGAGGCACGTTACTGTTTACCTTGGCAGCTTGGGCATATTTGGAAGCGTTATAGTCTCCGCCCATGCGCAGCACGTCCTCTGTGCAGTAGTAGAATTCAGAGAAACCAAAAAACTGGCTGTTGTTGTAGTCAATGGCCGGCTGGAAGATGCCGTTCAGAGACGTCTGAGGCTCATTGGTGCGGGTGAGAAAGGGGTGAAGCCTAAGTCGGACGAACAGAAAATGGAAAGAATGGAATGCAACTTTACCCAAATGAAAGCCGAGCTTACCTCAAAGGTAAAAAGCGTGTTCGGAAGAGAATGGCTCCGAGAGTCCACTGGACTTCCTTATCGTAGACTAAAAATGCAGTTTTCAGGTTTTTATAGTCAGGCGGGAAAGAGAAGCCCGAGTGTAATACTTCATACATCCATGCAGATTTAAAACACTGATACCTGTGGACATATATGACAATTTTTCGTGTCAATTGTTGATGCACATTTAAGACACAAAATCTGCCTTGGCAAAATTAGGAGGGAGAAACTTACTGGAGTCTGTGGAGATCAGCGTGGGAAGCGTACAAACCCGAGTCAAAGCGTTCCCTCAGAGTCTTCCACTGGGTGGCACAGTAACTCTGAAAATGTGAAATTACTTTATCAGCCAGTCATCACAAGACGTTATCTTTTTTTTTTTTGTGTATTTATGCATAAGCGTGCACAGTGACAGTCGAGTATTAAGCTTTGTTAACAGTCAGCGTTTGAGGCCAATTTGTGTAAACACAAAACTTTAATACTTTTTTATTTGCTTTTGAGTTGAATGTTTTAACAATCACATTTACAGGTAGACACCTTTAAGATTGGTTGCTGCTCTTCAAATACTGGTTTTGCTAATGAGTCTGAGATTACTTTTCTCTCCTTTTCATAGCGGCACCACCAAAGTCAAATTAAATATGCTTGACACTTGTTTGAATTGCAAAAAAAAAAACAAACAAAAAAAAAAACAAACAAAAAAAAAAACCCTACAACAGTATTCCTAGCATCTGTTGCTACTTATTACTCTCAACTCATTCATTAATGAGGCACGTTACTGTTTACCTTGGCAGCTTGGGCATATTTGGAAGCGTTATAGTCTCCGCCCATGCGCAGCACGTCCTCTGTGCAGTAGTAGAATTCAGAGAAACCAAAAAACTGGCTGTTGTTGTAGTCAATGGCCGGCTGGAAGATGCCGTTCAGAGACGTCTGAGGCTCATTGGTGCGGTTGAGAAAGGGTTGAAGCCTAAGTCGGCACTGGTCAAAGTCGCCCGTGCCGAGCACATGGAGCTTCTGTTCAGAGGTGCCGATCTGATCCTGCAGGTCTGTGGGGAGACAGGGGTCCAGCAGGGGCGTCTTTTCCGTCTCGCCGACATGCTGACCTAACAGCCTGGTGAAATCGGTCAGAGATGTTCACGAAAGGGAAAAAGGAAAACGAGTCCGAAGGTCAGGCACTCACTTATTTTGCATGGTGGTGTTTTTTATGAGGCTCTCCTCATATGTTTGGCGTGCTGCGTTTCCACCGAAACCCAGGAAAGTGGACACGTACACACGGTACACATGATCAGTCTGATGGGCATCGCATCCCAGATTAAATTCGGCCAGTAAATTCTTGGCCACTTCCTCCTATGGGACAATTAAAGACTATTAAATGAGATCACAGTGTGGGTTAATTTCTCACAATGCATAAAAAACGATGCCGATTACGACATGACTTTTCATCAGGTACACGAATCTAATGAGAGCCGATAAAAGAGCTGCTTGACAAGTGGTTTGTATAGACGGTCAGAAATGTACCCATTGAAACAAAATGGTTAGTGGTGGTGCCTTACGATACAAGTGACTTGACTGGTGAGTTTTGCTTTGACTTGCGGCGACTGTACAGCGGCGTAGAAGTTAACATCTTTCACAACAAGCAAAAGATATTTGAAGACAAACAGTGCACGTGTAGCTGGACAAATCAACAAAGGCATATATTCTTTATCCTCTTTGAAGAACTACTAATATTAGAGCAGCTTACGCGGTCGGTTAAGAAACTCTTTGCCGTGTGCCTGTTTTATACTGCCCCCAGGTGGCCAGAGCATGCACATCAGAAGGAGCAGCACAATGTCCATTGAAGTGAAGCAAAAATATAGCAAAAATTGTTGAATTCTTTACATTGTATTCAATTGCATCATTTCTGTGTGTGTGTTTTTTTTTTTTATAAAGTGCAATATTAGAGTGCTATTTTGCAGACTACAAATGTTATTTTCCTCCTTTATCCACGTTATTATTCCAAACATACCATTATTATCCTTCAAAGGCAATATTTCCAATACAGAGGTTGGATTTTATCCAATTATACTGTGCAGATGTACCTATTAAAAAGTGCCTGAAATATGATCATCTGAGGTTGTCCTTGACCTAGTCAAAAAAAAATTAATACAATTGATGATATAGTGATAAACTTATACACCATATTCAAATGGAGAGATTGTGTAATTTATTTCAAATAGCTCCGAAAAAGTTCTAAATGTTATTAAGACACCTAAGATCACCTTTAAATTGTAATTAAAATCATTTACAAAAATGTAATAAAAATTAATTTCATTTCTTTAAAATTCCTAAACTGTATTTTTAAAAAAAATGTGTTTGAAGGTCTTTCTCTCCATAAAATCAGTAAAACATCCTGCTACGGATACATGCAACAGGCTTACAGTAAGTGATGCATGGAGAGTAGACGGTCTCCACGGGACAAGAATGGTGCACAGTGTCAACCAGGGAGCAGAAGAAAGAATGAGTGACACAACCAAAGAGCAGAAAAAAACATATTTGGTCGTGGATAATAACCTGTTGTGGAGATGCAAAGCTTACACTTTTGGGCACTTCAAATGCAATCTGTGTGGAAACGCCGCCCATGTCCAACACCCCAGCAGTCCTTTTTCTCACCAGTGCCGCCTGTTGATCACTGCCCGGGACATTGACCTCTACAACAGCGTCTCCATCTTGACAGGAGAGCAGGACATAGGTCAGAAAGAGGTTACAGCAGGTGATAACTGGGTCACAAAAAAAAAATCCTAATGTTGCACAACATTTTTGGAATTAACAAAAACGCAACAGACTGGGAAACTTGTAAAACACCATTCCTTGGTGTCCTTACCATTATGCGCATGCTGAAATTTTCCAAGGACAAAGTTGATTCCAATCCACGCATAGATCCCTGAAATCAACGAGAACATCTTTGAGAGTTAATATACGTTGTGTGGACAATATATGCGCACAAAAATCAGCTCAAGCAGGGTTTTGAACGTGAAAGACTTCATTACTTCACCTTTTGACAACCGCTGAGGTTGACGCATTCAGGAATGCATAACACGTTGGGCCCATATAGCATTAAATGAGCCATTGTGTGTGCATGTAATTTGAGAAAGACGGAAGCTACCTCTTGGGCCCCACATGAGATAAGATTGCGGCCCTGCTAGGATAAGCACTTGAGAAACCTGATTGATGGACAGTATTTACCGCGGGTCACCAGCATGGCACTCGCTGGGACCAGGTCCTCGTTGAAAATTATTGTAAGGAATCACCATGGTCAGTGGCTTCACCGTGATGAAAATCATGAATTTTTAATCATATATAATTCAAAGGTCATTTGAACACGTTTCAGAAATGTGGATCGAACTGGCAGCCCCTTTGCATTGATCAATAGCCAAGAAGTAGAGCTTGCTTTGAACTAGTTTGGTGAGCCCTGGTTATGCAGAAAGAGTTCAATTCAAGCGCTGCATCAAACTGACAACTGAGAAGAATAAATGCCCAATTCTGATTTTCAGAGTTAGAGATGATTACTTTCTTAATATGTTTATTACTGTGGTGGCAGTATCCAGTGGTGTATAACTATCCTGGATTATAAGAGCTCTTTCTAATACTGTAAATAATAATAATAATAATAATAATAATAATAACAATTGAGAAAGAAAAATACCAGGTAGTCAATTTGCATTGAATTACCTTCCAATTTTCCGGAAATGACTTCGACGTGAGAATCTGAGAACAGGAAGTTGAAGTGCACTGGGATGTCTGTTCGCAAATCTTCCAGAATTGCCTCCTGTTGACTGATATGAAGACAACAACACCTTTTGCATTACAGCGGCACTTTGACTTTGTGAGTTCTTCAAGCTACAGTAAGTGCTGTCGCTTGTACCGCCAAGTTTTTTTCGACTTGAGTTGCACGAAATAATTTGAGTCACAACCGCGAGCTATGGTGACAGCAAACTCCACAAGTTGCAGTTTGGCAGACTGAACCCCTTTTAGAAAAAGAGAACTCTTTATTCCTACTCCCAGTGCAAGTTTACTGTAAAACGAAAAATAAAGAAATGACACAAAGTTTGCATTGATATCATTTGCAATTTAAAACTTAAAAAAAAAAAAATATATATATATATATAGTTTTACATTTGAGCACAAGTGGAAGCAGGACATCAACATGAAGTATGTCTATTTATTCACTGCGTCAAATTGTATTTATTCACTGGGGAAAGTCACTTTGACATAGAAATGCATTACGTTATGAGGGTGTTCACAGAAGGAATTAAAAATCGCTCAACATACAACATAAAAGTTGATGCGCTCCAGGAAGGAATTTTATTTTGCAGACTACAAATGTTATTTTCCTCCTTTATCCACGTTATTATTCCAAACATACCATTATTATCCTTCAAAGGCAATATTTCCAATACAGAGGTTGGATTTTATCCAATTATACTGTGCAGATGTACCTATTAAAAAGTGCCTGAAATATGATCATCTGAGGTTGTCCTTGACCTAGTCAAAAAAAATTAATACAATTGATGATATAGTCATAAACTTATACACCATATTCAAATGGAGAGATTGCGTAATTTATTTCAAATAGCTCCGAAAAAGTTCTAAATGTTATTAAGACACCTAAGATCACCTTTAAATTGTAATTAAAATCATTTACAAAAATGTAATAAAAATTAATTTCATTTCTTTAAAATTCCTAAACTGTATTTTTAAAAAAAATGTGTTTGAAGGTCTTTCTCTCCATAAAATCAGTAAAACATCCTGCTACGGATACATGCAACAGGCTTACAGTAAGTGATGCATGGAGAGTAGACGGTCTCCACGGGACAAGAATGGTGCACAGTGTCAACCAGGGAGCAGAAGAAAGAATGAGTGACACAACCAAAGAGCAGAAAAAAACATATTTGGTCGTGGATAATAACCTGTTGTGGAGATGCAAAGCTTACACTTTTGGGCACTTCAAATGCAATCTGTGTGGAAACGCCGCCCATGTCCAACACACCAGCAGTCCTTTTTCTCACCAGCGCCGCCTGTTGATCACTGCCCGGGACATTGATCTCTACAACAGCGTCTCCATCTTGACAGGAGAGCAGGACATAGGTCAGAAAGAGGTTACAGCAGGTGATAACTGGGTCACAAAAAAAAAAAATCCTCATGTTGCACAACATTTTTGGAATTAACAAAAACGCAACAGACTGGGAAACTTGTAAAACACCATTCCTTGGTGTCCTTACCATTATGCGCATGCTGAAATTTTCCAAGGACAAAGTTGATTCCAATCCACGCATAGATCCCTGAAATCAACGAGAACATCTTTGAGAGTTAATATACGTTGTGTGGACAATATATGCGCACAAAAATCAGCTCAAGCAGGGTTTTGAACGTGAAAGACTTCATTACTTCACCTTTTGACAACCGCTGAGGTTGACGCATTCAGGAATGCATAACACGTTGGGCCCATATAGCATTAAATGAGCCATTGTGTGTGCATGTAATTTGAGAAAGACGGAAGCTACCTCTTGGGCCCCACATGAGATAAGATTGGATCCTCTGCTGCTCCATTACAGTCATCTCAATGTCATTCACATCTTCAAAAAAACAGGTCCCCCCTTGATGATCCCCGAGAGTTTGGGAATGAGGGGTGGACATACTGTACATCACACAGAGATAGCTCCCTACTCACCTGAACTTTCTCCATCACGAACAGGAGGGGAACTGTTGGAGAACAGGTCCCCCCTTGATGATCCCAGAGAGTTTGGGAATGGGGGGTGGACATACTGTACATCACACAGAGATAGTTCAGGTGAGTAGGGAGCTTTCTCCATCACGAACAGGAGGGGAACTGTTGGAGGCTCAGGGCAATATGAGCATGAAGCAGTCACTAGTTATCCTGTCAGATATATCTCACCTCTTCTTGAGCAATTACCAAAGCAAACGCCCCGGGATGTCTATGTAATTGTGCAAAAACTCGTAGCTTGGGTTTGACATATGTTGAGGCACCAGTCATTGTACTCTTGTGACACAGTACATTCTCAGCACACAAACGAACCTGCCCATGATGAAGAAGGTGCTCAGCGTCTTGGTCTCATTCGTGTAAAGGCATCAGTCTGTAGGATGGACGAAGAAACTCGAGCTTTCGGACCACTCCATCTCGGTTTGCTCACGCCTTCCCATTACCTTGCATTGGCAAAAATCGGATGTTCATCGTTGATTCTCCTTCTTTCGGCTCCTTTGGAAGAAGGTCTCACTGTAATAGTTAACCGCAGAGCTGAATTCTTCGTCGTTAATATTTGTTTCGATGCGCAAATCAAGGAGAGAAAAACAAAATATTAACAAGATTAAAAAGAAAACAGCTGCTGTTTGCTAGCGTTAGCGTCATCATTCCAACACAACGCTGGGAGTGAAAGTCAGCATTATTTAACACTCATCGGAGTCGGTGGGGTAACTACTTGCACGCGACATTGAACATGTTGCATACTTACATTTAAAAATGGCAAATTCCTAAATTTTTGCGTACCATCGTCCTCCGTGTGACACCAACCTGCTACCCGGCTAATGTGGACGAGTATGTGGCAAGTCGCCTTCCGAGTGACGTGTTATTATAATTCTCCAGTTAGTGCGTTTGATTTTTTGTTCTGGGTTAGCCGAATGTTCCAGGGCCAAGTGGTCACACCGTACAACTTGTTACAATACCGCCCATCGGCGTCTGTGAAAGTTCAAATTAGAGCTTCGTCATTCTCGTTTGGGAGCAAATTAAAAGTTGTCTCTATCTACTAGAACTAGATCAATACCGTATATGTTATTTAAATGGTCATGCAAAAATTAATATTCTAAATTATTAATTCTAATTATGTAACATTCCCTCATAATATTGAATTGAACGCACTGTTTATTAGAATAGATGTTAGCCACATTACGTAAAACCTTTTTATTCAGCACAGAAGCGATATGTTCAGTTTAGGGGGGAAAAAAATCAACAAATTGGTGCAGATGGGATACTCTATTTCAGTACAGGAAGTCTGTATAGTATTAAGTAGCACAGTATAGTTAGTGAATTGGTATATGATCAGGCTTGGGGAGTAACGTATTAAGGATACAAAACATATGTACAGTAATTGAATTCTGTTACAGTTTAATAAAAAACATATTTCGATTACAAGCACATTTTACTCAAATTTGTCTTCTCCACACACCCGGCTAATTTGAAAGCAACATGGAGGGAAAGTGGTGAGCGCTACTTACTGTTTGGGACAAAGGGCTGATTTATTTTAAACAATATCTACAAAGACAAGTGTGAGCTGTCAGAGGCCTGCGGCACCACAACACTCTTCTCTGTCACATTTCAAATTTCTAAAATATTTATCGTTACGTTATCGGGACTTTAAAAATCTGCATTGCGTGATTTGAACATTCAAGGAGACAATTTGTTTACATATTAACGGCAGGATTTAAGATTTGAGAAAAAGACTGTTTGCAGGTTAAACATTGACTTTTAAAATGGTTGTCATTTCAATTGCATAACAAGTTGCACATCTCCTCACTACACCCAGACAACTTGCGCTCGACTTGACCTTTTGCATTCTGTCCACTGCATGTGACTGATTTGCCAGCAATGACTCACGTCTACACACTTTAGTCTCTTGCTCCGCTGCATTATGCCTTTCACAGTAATCATCTCAACATCGGTTCTTTGCAGGTCAAGGTGTGTCACTCTTTCGAGTGGTTTGAGAACACAGTGAGCAGAAGCTCCTAAAGAGTGGTGTCGGAAGCCAGGCGGATCCGCGGAAAATTGCCATGTATGCAAGTTGCACATCTCCTCACTACACCCAGACAACTTGCGCTCGACTTGACCTTTTGCATTCTGTCCACTGCATGTGACTGATTTGCCAGCAATGACTCACGTCTACACACTTTAGTCTCTTGCTCCGCTGCATTATGCCTTTCACAGTAATCATCTCAACATCGGTTCTTTGCAGGTCAAGGTGTGTCACTCTTTCGAGTGGTTTGAGAACACAGTGAGCAGAAGCTCCCTAAAGAGTGGTGTCGGAAGCCAGACCGCAGTACATTTTGCAGAATATGGTTGAGTCGACACGGTAAAGAGACCAAGGAGAGCCTCTGGAGTAAAGGGGAACCAGTCAGGAGGCAGTAGATCACCCTCATCAAAGACATCCAGGACATGGGAGGCCGCATTTGGTGATGCCCATATGAGAAACTGCAGACAAAACACATCAATGAACACATTAACACTGTACCGTTTCTGCCTTTTAACCTAAAACGTATTCCTAAACTTGAGTCCAATGATATCTTCTGAATTGTTGCTTTTCTCTCCTCATGTCGTGAATATTGCAATTCTAATCTGTCTCTACAAAACCTAGACTATCTCTAATTAGTCCAGAAACCACAACAAGGTTTTTGTGTCATCTCATTGGTTCAGCTACATCACTCCTGATTTGCCTTCCTTGCACCGGCTTGACGTCTTTTCATTCCATATATTTAGAATAATTTTATACTGCGCTGGGCATTTTTTTAGGCTATGAAAAAAAGCACAAAACAATAATTTTGTGCTGAGTGTTTTTAGGTCCCTAAAAAAAAATCTTCAATGTTACAAACAATCTAAAGATAGGCCAATAATTCAAGGTTCCACTGCTCTTTCATTTGAGCTGATAGTGTGATTTTTTTTTTTTTTTAGAAAGCACTAAAAAAATCACTTTTGGCAGCTAATGTGAAATTAACACAACTAGAAGGTCAACCAATGTCACAGAGAAGATTGTCTTCAACCTTCTGTTCACATTCCGTTGTGCTAAATATCATTTGTAGTCTTACTTGAGTGTCAGAGAGCAAAGGTTGGGCAGACTTGGAAGCTCGCGCTCATCCGGCTCTCCATGCAGAGCCGGGGTGGGAGGCTCTGCGCGGATGAGCAAGTCTTTGAGTTTGGGACAGGCCCGGATGAGCTCCAGTAGCGGTGACTGAGGGTTCGTTTTCACTCCCTCCAAGGTGAGTGACACGAGGGAGGAACCTGACACTTGCAAGGCAGGGAGGAGATCCTGGAGAGGGCCTTGGTGCTGCACGGAGAGACTTCTCAGCTGACCTGACCACGACTGCAGCCCTGTTGCCAAAAGAGAGGGCAAACTTCTTCCTCCATCGTTCTCTTCCTCTTCAACTCTCACAGATATAGAAGTGATGTTTGGGCACAAACAGCCAAAAATGTCCAGAGACTCACATGTTAAATGTTTCACATCTCTTAAGCGCAGTGTTAGACGTTCATCACTGCCTATTTCCTTTGCATCATTCTGAGAGCAACCTTCCTCATCATCCTCACTTTCACTCACATCTTGCGCTTCGGCACTCGCCGTCTTAGATGTCTGCTGTGAGCGCCTGCTCTCCCTCCACACTTCCTCCAACCTAGGCAGTCTTTCTCTACTGGCGAATGCATCCACCTTTGTAAAGTCTCTGTGCTGGATCAGCCAGCAAGCCTGCAAGAGGTTCTCCACAGCCAATCTCTCTAGGTAAGGCAGAGCAAGGAGCAGGTACGCCACTAACGCGAGAAGGTCTCCCTCCTCTTCCCCGAAGCCAATATCAAGAGCGAGCAAACTACACAGACGCAGCGGAGACGCAGATGTGGAAGAGGAAGAGCCAGAAGGCGAACATTTAGACAAAGAACTGAAACCGCCGAGGGGAAGGAGCGCAGCGGGAGAGAGTAAGTGGCATCCGGATACATCCAAATGGCGAAGTAAAGGGCAGCAGAGGACGATGGTCTTGATGACACCGGCGTCACATGAAGTGCCCGCCAGGGAAAGTGAACGCAGGGCAGGTAGACAGCGCAGGGTGTCTGACAGCGCCCTGGAAGGTAGCTGTTGAGCTCCAGATAGGCTGAGGTTGCGCAGGCCCTACAGAATGTATGAAAAGACATCAGTTGCATTCATACTTTGTCCTCAGATGAGAGACAAGTGGTAGTTGGGAATCCAGAACGATGACCCAATAGGAGAATTGTATGGGCAGGTGAGGTTATACTAAGCACACAGCAGTTCATAAGGAAGTAAACTTCTTTGAAGACAGACTATTGTTTGTGTTACAGCACATGGAGTAAATATAAAAGTCTACACACCCTTGTTCCAAGGCCAGGTTTTTGTGATTAAAAAAATCAGACAGAGACACATCACTTCTAAACTTTTTCCACCGTTAATGTGACTGACAACCTTGACAACTCAACTGAGTGGAGAGTGGAAGTGAACCAAACAACTGAAATTATGCGGTCGCACAAAGTGTGCAGATCCTCAAATAACTATGAAATGGCTGCGTTCAAAATAAACGGATCACATTTAAACTCATGTTAAATATGAGTCAACACACACCTGCCATCATCAGTATTAAAATTAAATGTAAGGTCATGTTTTTTTTTTAAAGCAACTCATAAAACTTGTGTACCACTTCAAAGTTCAGAGACGCTGATATTTTAGGTAACTATTTTTTTTACAATGTCACTATCTAGTATGACGCAGTATATAGATACAGTTTTCCCAACAAGTTTGTCTGACCTGGCAGCGTGCAGCAATCATGGCACACAGGGCAGAGGTAACTAGGCCGGGACAGGTCTCCAGGGATAGGCCTCTCAGCTGGGGTACTATCAGTAGATGGAGGGCAGCACGGGAAAGCTTCCTTCTCGAGCACAGCAAACGTGTCAGCTCTTCCACCAACTCGCCAGCTATTAGAGAGAGCGGGAGGGGGCACAGCAGAGAGTTACGTGGGTGAGATCATAATTACTTGATATGGCAATTTTAATCAGTGTGGTGCATATGTAAAGTGTGCCTGTGACTCACAGAGCAAATTGAAAGGTCCCATGATGTGAAGGAAAGAATAATGATCTATGTAGTTATCAGCGTAATCTTTCACCCACACATTCTTCATATTGTCAGCCAAGCTCAGTAGACAAAGCCGAGTCAGTGTAGGCACAGAGTCATCCTCATCCATCACCCGACTGCGCCTCGTCTTCCTCCACTTGGGCTGAGCTTTCACCCTCTGGTCCCCAGAGGCTCGGAACAGGGGCATCTTTGCAGACCCCAATCAGATCGGTGGGGCTCCCAGGTCACAGAACAGTTCTTGCAAGACATAATGATAAATGTATCTATCCACTTTGTGTGCCACTTGTTGAAGCTTGTCCCAGTGGTTAAAAAGTGAAACTTATCGTGTTAAAGCTGAATTTATTTTGTATTTTGTTTTTATTTTATTTTTTTATATTGCATTCTGTACTGTGTACAATTCAGTTTTTAACATTTATTTTGTGCATGCAAATACTGTACTTGTTTTCTACTTTCTTCCCTCCAAATTTTGCTGCTATAAATTGCGAATTTCTCCATTGTGACAATAAGGTTTTCTTATCTTATCTTATTTATTGGGCAGCAATGCGCGTCTGTCTAAAAATTCAAAAATCAACCCCCCCCCCAAAAAAAAGCTACCGCACTGAAAGGTCATGAATGACTCAAGCGCATATGAGTGAAAAACACTGTAGTGTGTAATAGACATTATTGTATTGCAAAAAATGAAGACAGTTCAGTAGCTCTGATGAACAGCATATTACACAGTAATGTACACCCCTGAGTTGCTTCTCACACAGCATTACCCGTAAAAGCAAATACTTGCTACTCACCACAAATAATCAAATTGGCTGAATTATTTTATAAATAAATGTGATCGTTCAGTGGGGCTTACTTGTCAGGTTGAAGAATAGGAACCAGTTTTTGAAAGTTTGGGCAAAGCCACTTCCTAAAAACAAAATCACTTCCTGGTTGTAAGGCTTTCGGATTGGCTGATGATTTTTGACTAAGCCCCGAATTTCGTCTTTCAGGCATACTGTATTTATTTTTTTTTCCCCGAAAGAACAGATGAGGGCGGTGTGATCATATCTTAAGCAAGTGAGGACTCTGGCTTCAACGAACTTATTCAAGTTCCAACCCCCCCCCCCCCCCCCCCCCACACACACACACACACACGCACTCAAATCTCCCCAACAGACTTATACAGTCAACGCCGCACTCGCGACTGCTGGGAAATGTCCCACTTGGAGCTTGGAGTCTACCTGGTCGTCATAGCGTTGTGGTTGAACATTAACTAAAATCACAGCTGAAAACCATGATAAGGTAGTAAAATATTTTCTTTAGCTGTAACAAGGTCATTTGACATTCACCAAACCGGACAGCAACGCCAAACTTTTTTTTTTTTAATTTAGTAATGCAGAGGTGTTAGTCATATCTACGTACGCATAACATTTGATTCTCCGAACCAGACTCCTTTAACGTCTTTGCTGCAACTAGAAATTCTGTCCATTAAAGTTAGGAGCAAAATCGGTGATGAACTCGACATCCTTGGAGTCCAAGCCTAACAGTAAAGGAACCTGACTTACTACCGGCAATGCGTCGAACGCTTTCTCTAACTCTACAAAACAGAAGTGGGAATGGTTGGGCCAACTCCGGTGCACCCTTAAAGACCCTGTTGAGCGGTCTGCTGTTCCATGGCCAGAATGAAACCCACACTGCTCTGCCAGAAGATGAGATTCGCCTTCCAGACGGATCCTCTGCTTCAGCACCAGCCTGGCCGTCTTTCTTAAAAAGGGGAACCACTTCCCTCGTATGGCAATCCAGAGGTGCCATCCCTGATGTCAAAGTCAAGTTGCAACGGCATTTGACCCAAAACAGCCCCATAAAATCCATTGTGTGTGTGGTTTTCAGCCAATTGTGGATCTCTCGAACAAAATGTTTTCCAACCTTTATTGAGCCAAGGCACATATTTGACATCAGCAAAATCTCATGGCACACCACCAAACAAAAAACAAAGGCTGTAACATGGCCCCATCCTAAAATGTATTTATATTATCAGAAGGGCGGGACATCATAACTTTCGTTTCTACTAAACCGTTTCTTTGCTTGTATCAACTGGTGCATTCCAAAGGTTTGTGTGTCTCCAGTAGGGAATGTTCCAATTTTAAGTGATGATTGCTTCAAGGACGCCAAAAGCTACTCTGTGGGCATGGGAAAGTTATCCAGCATGAAGATGAGCAGAATACACACTTCAAATGCAATCTATTGGTTGCGCTACATTCTAGCAATTTGTTTTGAAAATAAGGTTTCCAAAAGTGTACAATCTTTGACCGTGACAGATGACTGATTTTTCTTGGAACAACTCAGGAATATTAAAAAATGTTTCAAAAAAAAAAAAAAAAAAGATCATGTGCCTTTGCAATCTGAAACCAAAACACTGACTTTTAAAGCACACCAGATACGACAATGACGGGAGTATATTCATAAAATTGTTGCATAGGTTTTATGCCATATTTCAGGCCACACAAATGTAACATACAAAAAAAAAACTGAAAAAAAGAGGGGGGGATAATGAAGTGGTTTTATGAAACCTAAAAGTAAGGTTACACCCACACATATTGTATTAAATGGCAAGGCATAGAGTGCATTTTTTTTTCTCAAGCTCCCCCAACCAAGCCCCACACTTTTCGCACTTTTGAATTAGCACAAGCACAAGCAGGATTAGCCATACTGTGGGCTAAATTACAGAAAAAAAACATGCAGTTAAATATATATTGCTGATATAGTGCAGTCTTTTTTACGTGCCAGACTACTGTATGCAGTTGTATAACTTCCACTTGCAAATGAATAGCAAAGTTTGGCCACTACATATAATCCAATGACAGCCTGAACGTGACTCATTTCTAATATCAATCATTAGAGGGGAAGCAACATTTCGAGCAATTCAATCCAAGTCATGTGACGTTTAGTAGAGGAGCTTCTCGGAGGATGGGACCACTTTCCTTCCAGCCACATAAACCTCCACTATATTCCTATCGTCACCTGCACAACAAGAACCAAACTGCCATGTCGAGGATGTCATACACAAAGGAATCAACCGAGAATGAATCGTAACTGTTCACTTACCCAAATTCAAAAACTTTTCCAGAATAATCTGAAAGTAAAGTGATGAGAAATCAGTTAGCTTGCCTGGATCTTTTTGTTTTCGCACCGAACAGCTTAAGAACCGAGTCTGCGTTTGCATTTGTCGTTGAGTACTAGTATGGAACAAAACAGAGCGTTTTAGAAACATGAGTTACGTCGCGGTTCAAAAATGTAAACAAGTTTTTGTCCGCTCAATCTATTGAGCATCTCAATGGACAAGCCACACCTTCTAAAGCCAAAGACATGCCAAACTTTTTTTTTCCACACATAAGCCTTTTTGTGTTGGGTACTGTATATCACACATAGAAGAAAAGACAAAAAACTTGTCTTGCTTGTCTCATGCCCTGGCCGATGGCCTTCAACTGGAAGGCTGCATTGTACTTGACATTGCCGTTTTCGGCATGATGAGGGTGTGTGCGCTTGACAAGATTGGAATAGTTTGGGATTTTGCAGTTTACTTGACATTGCCGTTTTCGGGATGATGAGGGTGTGTGCTTGACAAGATTGGAATAGTTTGGGATTTTGCAGTACTACCAGAATAAATACATTTCAAACATTTAAAACGAAACTCGAAAGCTCTGAAAAACCATTAAATTGACAAAGCTGAAAATAGCATTTGTTGTTATGTTTCAGTTAGTTTTATAAAATCGAAATGTATTTTGGTTATGTTGTTGTTTTTTTTTTTTTTTTTTTAAGGACTCTCATTTTAATTGGATTTCTTTAATTAAAATATGTTTTTCAAATTTTGTTGTACCAATCCAAATGCTTCAGTTTGTGGATTCAAAACAACATGGATCTTCATCCATAAAATTCTGAACAGTAAACACGATATTTGTGGTTTAAAGAGAAGCTGTGACTAAAATGCGACAGGATTTGGGAAAATCCGAAAACAAGATGCATTGGTGATAAACTGCAGAAGTCATGAGGGCGAAAAAGACTCGCCTCACGGTCAAATGTAGTCAGCCTTTTCAATTTGTTCCAGCCTGCTTGTTTGATGACCACCAAGGTTCGGTTTCGCGTGTGACCAAACAGACGGCATGATTGTTTATTAAGCAAAGCAAATGTGACAAGGGTGATGACGATGTTCTCACTGGACAAAACCTCACGAAAAGCAACTGCGCCAGAGTTTATTCTTGCCCAAAGCAAACCGAACAACTGGGAACACAGCGTTAGTCAGTATTTCACGCTCAAACGTAAACTACCTTTGGTTTGTCATGCTCGATCAAGTCAATGGGCCCGCCAGGAACGGTTACGTTCACCCTCAAGGCGTCAAAGTCTTTGCCCACTTCAAAGTTTCCAATTTGGGAATCCAGGGACAGAGCTGGAAACAAAAGACATATTCATCAAGATAACACCACAACCTTCGCATATTAAAATGGATTCCATCAACATGACGAATACAGAATGCAACTTTGTATTGTACCTTGGCTGCCTCCGAGTGTCGCCAACCGGAACACTTCCTCAAAGGTGAGCGTCACGTGTTCCGGGTCCTGTACGGTCAGTATTTTGGACGTGTCCAAGGCTCTCCGCACAGCATCCAGCATCGAGGCAGAGTAGCCGCCCGCCACGTCTGACGCAGGACGTAATGAAAGGGATCGATCACACGGTCAAGAGCAGGCACAGGCAAACACTTTTTGGCTCATCATTTTTGAAGTGAACTCAAAGTCGGTCTCGTCATTCTGTTCCCACCTGTTCCGAGGCCGAGCTTCACTTTGTGGTTCAGCACGTTACGGACATTGAGGAGTCCGCTGCACAACCTGAGTAGATAAATTGTTTCAACACCAAATCATTTGTCTGCGTTTGCCTTGCGTCACGGCAAAGGCTCAACGAAGGTGAATCAGTCAAACTTACGAGATGTTGGAGTTTGGACAGTGAGACAAAGAGGCGCCTGTCTCTCGAAACAAGGCCAACTCTTCATCACTCAGATAGCAGCCGTGCGCCATCACTGTCTGTGAAGTCACAACACAATGAATCGAGTGTCGACGAGAGCATTTTTAGACCAATCGGGAATTGTTTTTTGTCACCTTGTTGGTAAGCAGGTTGTGTTTGTGGTAGACATCTGTGTAGGAATCGGAATCAGGAAACATCTCCTTCACAATCTTCACCTCCTCGACATTTTCACTGATATGGCTCTGGGAGTGAATATGGTTGTCAGACAGACACATGTTCAATTTGCATTCACCGGGAACATATACGCAAAGTCTTTGATGAAGGTGTGTTGTTTGCTTGTGTTATTATGATTTTTTTTTTTTTTTGTAGCACTTCATTTGGACTATTTCATGTCAGCAGTTGAAAACAGTTTGTGTGTACAACTAAAACTGAATCCTAAAAGATTTCAGGTCACTTGAGCTCTCTGGCAACTGTTGCCGGGGGGACATCGCCAGGTTTGGTTGCCACGGTGAGCTCACCTGAATATGCAGGTTGTTATTCTTTGCGAGCTGTCCCAGTTGTCCCAACAAGGTGCTCGAGCATGACAGGACAAAGCGAGGTGTTACCACAGGCTTCACAAGAGCATACTGCCCAACGGGGAGAGACACAAATGTCAGTCAAAATTGCAGTCACTTTGAAACCAACTGAAAGCATGAAGGACTGTCTTTGGCCTACTCTGCCAAATTCACAAGAGTTCCTACTCTGCCATGCAACAATCCATCAATCCATTTTCTGATCTGCTTATCCTCACAAGGGTCACGGGGCATGCTGGACTCTATCCCAGCTGTCTTTGGGCAGGAGACGGGGGACACCCTGAACCGGTTGCCAGGCAATCGCAGGGTACACACGGGCGAACAACCATTCGCGCCCGCAATCACACCCAGGGACAATTTAGAGTGTTCCATTAACCTGCTGTGCATGCTTTTGGAATGTGTGAGGAAAGCGGAATACCCGGAGAAAACCCACGCAGGCACTGGGGAGAACATGCAAACTCCGCACAGGAAGGCCGTAGCCGGAATCAAACCCAGCACCTCTGCACTGTGAGGCCGGCGTGCTTAACAGTTGATCACCGCCCATGCAAGAACTATCGCTGTAGACTACACCGCTACACTGCCTCCACAAACGCAGCAGCAAATGGGTACAACACTCGACTTGGCATTTTTTGGAAGATTCCTGCACGGACAGACACTCACCTTCTTCTCCAAGAGCTCAGCGATGAACCTCGAGGAAGAAAAACAAATTATTTGCCGGTACCGTCCACAAATGACAAACCACACTGATGCGTATAAATCAATGTTTTATACACACACCGACGGGTTTCCTCCAGGGACTCTTGAATGGTCTCTTTGTAATGTTTCACTGAATTGTTCCGGTCCATACACACCTTGCCCACCAAGGCTCGCTGTCCCAACTTGTCTATAAGAAGAAAGGACACAATCTCACTCTGTTGGAAGCATGCTAGCTTTTTGTACAATCGGATAAAAGAAGCATTGTTCCAGGGGTGTCCAAACGTTTTCCTCGGCAGGGTAGAGATAAAATCAATCGATCAATCAAGCGATTATAAGTTGTTCATATGATGTAGTTAATTTAGTTATTTGGAAAAAAATGCTAGATCAAGGCTTTCCGCAAAGCGTAGCTATGGATTCGTTTCAGATTTGGAAGTGGCCTTTTATTCCACTTGAATAGATCCGCCCTTCCACTGAGCAGCAGCTGAATCTCTGCATTCGGAAACAAAATGAGAGAAATCTGTCAAAAGCTGCCCATACTGGAGGATTATTAATTCATTCACTCCCAAAGACATATTTATATGTCTTTTCAGACTTCACACATTCAATCCCATATGCTTAGGTTTTTTTTTTTCCTTGCTTTTTTTTACCAAGACTGAAAGTCAAATTTGTTTTTTTTAAACGGGTCTGAAACTGGCTGGTACTGAATGAGTTAACGTGATACGTTCGCAAATCGGACCTTGGCACTGGGCAGAAAGTGGAGGAAAACATGTTTGTTTCTGAAAGTGAATTATCTCTCTTGCTCACAGTGTTATGAAGAAAAATTCTGTTCCTATTTTAGCTGTCATGCATATCCCAAAAAGTTTTTTCGTAGTAGCCGTCTGCTTCACTCACATCGACTCACCACTGCTTGATTCCAAAATGGGTTTAAACATAACAATTCTCAAACTTCGACACACAACACCTCACAGTGGCAAATTCAAGGTTTTTGAATGTTTTTTTTTCTTTTTTGACAGTGACAAATGAATGGTGGGCTAATAATTTGTTCTCAAAGAAGCGCAAAACACCGATATGTGGGTCCACATGCTCCAACTTTGTAGAACCTTCCATTTTATTTTTTCATTCACATGTCAGCAGCAGATGACATAACACAAGCCCTGTACAGACACCTGCTGACACTTGTGAAGCGAACAGCAACAAGGCACGTTAGGGTGATACTTGACCCATCGCCTGCATCACATAAATTCATCTGCTATGTCAGTTTCCATGCACACTGAGTATTTTCCATCTCAGTTTTTTTTTTTGGGGGGGGGGGCTTGTGTTCGTTGTTTATTAGGTATGATAATTTTTATGCATTTTCGAAATTCTCCCACAAACCAAGTGTGGGTGTGGAAACACCCACACTTGTCTGGACTGTTTCAAACTCCTCCATGAACACTGTTGTGGCATGTAGATGGTTCTCTCATTACCACCATTTTCTTTGATTCAACACACTGGGATCCCTTACAGGGGAGACATTTTACCAAGGACCCTTTCATAATACTAATACCAATTCAACATTGCAATTATTAGTTTTGCTTCACCCTTTAAAAAAAAAAAAAAAAAAAGAGTGGGCAAAGATGTTCATACCTGCAATGTGACCCAACAAGAGAGAGGAGTCAGTATGTATTGTGGCGAAGTAACAAGCGGTGGTTGTCCCATTTCTCAGAGTTCTTTTCTGCAAATGACACGGACCCAATTAAAGGATTAAGACTTGTGTTTTGTCAAGTGCCTACACACTGTTTAAAACTCATTCACTCCCAAAGACGTTTTTAAACGTCTTTTCAGACTGGGTCCAGAATTGGCTGGTATTGAATGAGTTTAACAAGGGCAGTACATATGTTTCTAAAATGGCAGGTTGTGTAACAACAGGGTGTGGTGTACATACAAGCAGTAAATACGTTTCTAAAGTGTCAGGTTGTGTAACAACAGGGTGTGGTGTACATACAAATCTAATGTACATGTCACACATTTCAAGGCGCTCACCACGACTTGAGTGTAGACCTCCCGTGCGAAATTCTGGTCTTTGAAGCGTGATTCCACCGGAAACGTGTAGGTGTTGAGCCAGTCAAGCAGGGGCATGTCCAGAGCCGTGCCAGCGTAGCTGTATTGAGGGGCATGGATGTGGGTGTCCACCATTCCGGGCATGAAGAATTCACTACAACGCAGAGTGCACCGTATATTATTTGTAGGTCACGTATCCACAGTCCTTTTAGTTGGATTATTGCATTACGCATACTGTCTTGAAGTCGATGTCATAAGTGAAACGTAGGCATAGGTACAGCATTTGTACTTACTGTTTTTCCAACTGAATTACTGAGGATGGACTGAATGCAAATTCTTTTGAGAGTCGATGCAGCTCTTTACCTTCACCAATAAAGGCGATCTGATGACAGAATGGAACTTGATTAATTGGCAAATAATTCTAACAGAAATGCTTGCATGGGAAAAAAAAAAGAATTCTCAACTTCAGCTCATGCGGTTCAGTGAACGTGAGAAGGTACTTTCCCATCAGCATCATCATATGCATACTAGATAAGATAACCTTTATTTGTCCCACACTGGGGAAATTTGCAGTCTACAGCAGCAAAATTGGGGGGGGGGGGAGAAAAAAACAAAGTGTTTCATTGCTACTAATATAATATTAAGAACTACTGGGATTACATTTTTTCAACACATTTTATGAATTATAAATATATAAAAATACCAACACAACACAAAAACGATTAATAGGAACAAATGTAATAGACATAATACAAAAAGTAAATGTTAAACAACACAAGTATAGCAGTCACACTAAAAATAAGTAAAATAATGGATGTGATATGTTGACAACATATCACATATTTGTTTTATCCTACTAAAACTACTACAAATACATAAAATACAAATAAAAATGAATACAAATACGTAAAATAGGTAAATGTTAAACAATACAAGTATAGCAGTCACACGAAAAATAAGTAAAATAATGTACAACATATCACATATCCTACTAAAAATACATGAAATACAAATAAAAATGAATACAAATACGTAAAATAATAAATTTGGTAATGTGCTACTACCTAAAAATGATGCCAGTGATAATTATATAATCATTACATTAATACAATTGCAATCTAAATAGTGCTTAAATATGACAATGAGAAAAAAATGAAAAGTGCAATTTGAATCGGAAAAATAGTTTTGAATTAAAATACGCAAGTGCCTAAAATGCAACCGAATACTTAAAAATATACCTTCCCGTCGGCATCAACTCCAAGTAGTGCATCTTCCAGGACCTTGGCTGCTTCTTCGCGGGTGGCATGGATCAAAGTCCCCCTGAAGACGCGCTTCGTCTCCGCGGCTCCGTCCGGGTTCGCCATCACGATTTCAGAGAAACACGAAAGTCGCGCGCTCACCTGCGTCGGACTGCGACTTTGAGTCGATCGTCTACCAAAGCGGCCGACTCGTGTGGTGTGGGATGGGCTAGGAGGGGGGCCGACTGGGACACACCTGACCAAGGAGGAAAGGCGCAGCCAATAGGAGAGCGAGAAGCAGATGGGTGTGTCTACAGTGTCCCTTTCTTTGGCCAGTTTCAACTGGCACCAAACATTAAGGAAAGAAGGGACCGACACTTCTGCATGATACGTTGTGTCCACTTGCACAATTTAACGAGATCCAATACGTCACGAAAATAAATAAATAAATAGATAGATAGATAGATAGATAGATAGATAGAGATAGATAAATAAATCAATAAATGCGCAAGAGAAACTACCAATGGAGCTTCGTGTTTATTGTTGCTCCGACAACCGGTCTCAAAGGTCTTTGCAGATTCGTTCCGTTCAAAGTTTTGTTGTAACACATTGTTGAAGTTCCTTTTATTAGTTTCAAAGAGTTTGCTCTTCACGGGTATTGGAATGAATCACAGGGTGTTCCGCTCATGTCACCATTTGATTGACAGATGAGCTACGGATGCTGCTTGTTTTATTGAACAATTAGAACGACACGGACCCAAATAAAGGATTCAATAATACTAATCAGATTGTGATTAGATCAAAACCCCGCCACCAAAGCTCTCAATATTTTTGTTTGATTGTAAAAACAACTTTTCGATTTTTCACGGAAAAGGCATACAAAAAGAATTCAAAATGAATGAACAATGTTGTGAAGAGTTCAATTACTCTTTTAATATCAAAAATAATGTGTGGTGCGTGTTCTATCTTCATAATGTCACAATACCGTTTATACATCATGTATAACGTGGACTTTTGTATGGTTAAGCAATACAATGCGATTTTCAAGAACCCCACCAGTTGTTTGAAGGTTATTTCAGGCTACGAACTGTCTGCTCTTTTCACTTCCTTTTTGGTGTGGTGGTGCAATGTGTTCGCCATAACTCACTGTACTCATCTGAATTATGTGAGCTCTTTGAATTGATACTTTCCTTAGCCACGATGATGTACAAGAAATAATATAGAGCAGATCAGTTTATCAGCTTCACTATTAAATTCATTTTACTTAACCCTTTCAGGGACAGCGGTTATCAGGTTACAGGGTGCATGAAAGGGTTAATGAAAAGGAGGAAGAAGAGGGGCTCACTCAAAAGAAAACAAATATAGACAGCAGTTATCAGAAGTTGACACACCTCGTTCAAAAGCCATTTTTTTGTGATAAATTGGACCAAAATAAATCGTTTCTAAACATTTTATTTCATGTTTAATGAGCTACTGTATACCAAGAAGTAGATTGTACAGCAATATATTTACTTATGGTGACTTTTAATGTCCTACTTTACTCTTGGGCTGTTATTTGATTTGGATATCAAGTGTGAAGGTGGAAACAGGAATATTTTTAGACTTGAATTAGGGGCAAATAGGTGCGTGGCCGACAAGTGAAATTTGTGAGTGGATGAGTAACCAATTATGTAACTTAACCAAGGTTTAGTACAAATAGGCTCAAATATTAGCACTGGGTTGAACAGGGGTCACCATCATGGAAATAAAATGTTGCCTATTGATATCCATCTGTTTCCGACCTTGATACGTCATTGTGAGAAATTGATAACGGGATCAGTGTCTGAACATAACATCATGAAAGATCATTTGAGCATTATTTCAGAAGGGTGTATCAAACTGGTAACCCTTTGCATTCATCAGAAGCAAAGAAGGAGCTCTCAGTTTCAAAACGGTTGATGGCCCGTGGATTTGAACAACTTTGATGCAGATCAACATGTGATCATTGTCATAACAGGCAAAAGCATTGTCTGAGGGATATCAAATGCTATTTAAGTTAGTCTTGTGAGCGCAGTGACTCGCCCTTGAGGAAGGAAAAGCATGAACTCCTGTGATAGTTGCATCAATGACACATGATCAACGATCAAGAGCGCTAGATCTGCGGCACGCTAACGTTGCCAAAACGCAAACGACAGCATAAAACAAATGTAAGAAAAATGAGAACCGGTGTGTTGTGCAAGCGAGCCGTGATAAGATGGTGTGAATATTTGATGGCTGTGTTTGAACTTCAATACAGGGTTTATAAGGTCTCCACCTTTTAAACCCGGGACACATCGGGAAGTGAAGGCGACTTGCTCTGTGTCATTTTCGGGTACTGATTAACTATCTTCATCTTCTTTGTCCTCAAGGTCACTGAAGTCCTCCTTTTCATGATGATGATGATCATCATCATCAAAGTCATCATCACTGTCCAAGTTCTCTATGTCCTTCGTGCACTTTTTGCCTTTGTTTTTGCTACCCGTGTCCTCTTCTTTTTGGTCCAGATGAGAGTTCACTCTGTAATAGTGGCAGAGAAATCATTACCATCATCACTATCATCATCAGTGTTTAGCTGCCATCCTGTCAACAAGTAACGTGTATGGTATGCGCTCCCAAACAGTGGTAAAATCTGCTGACCAGTGTAATGAGACAATTACAGGGTGAGATTACCCCCCCCCCAACAATAATAATAATAATAATAATTTACTGAATGGTGCTTCAATGCTTGACAGGTGGCAGTGAGACGAGACGTTAAAGGCTGTTAAAGGCATTGATTGGGCACTTGGACCTTCAGTTTAACTCCAGTGATGACAGTGACAGCTTTGGCACTTCCTTTTGCCTCCCTCTAGTGTTAAATCAAGTGAACTTCAAAGTGGCGACTCTGACTCGCCTTTTCAAACTAACTGCTCAACGAGTATAACAAATTGAACCGGCCTGTTTGAAGAAATTCCCCTAAAATGAAACCACAGCACTAATTTTATTTCAAAACATAATTTTGCTAATGTCCATTGAAGATGTTGTCCACGACTAAGACATACTGTATTTCTTTGATTCTAGACTGAAAATAGGTTGATATTTAGATCAAACAACAAGGTAAAAGGTTCTCTGCATTTCTTAATCGTCAAGGGGTACTTACGGGATGACAATGTCCTCCTTTTTCCCACATTTGCAGCATATTTCCAGCTGAAGAGAGCAGGGCTTACAAATGACATGATAAGCATCCTTCACAGTCTTCTGAGAACACTTGACACTGAAATAAGAAAACGTATATATTCTTGTAACAACAACAACAACAACAAAAAACTATATCTAGCATTGTAAGAGGTCCTGGGTCTGGGTCATTTTAAGGTCATAAACAGCACACGTCATAGGAATACGTTGTCACGAGGCACAAGACACATTCAGTTAGCCCCATACTTACTGTTTTTCATCTGATAGTTTGAGATTTCTGGCCTGGATTTATGAACAGTATTTGTACAAGCTTGCAAAGTGAAGTAAGAATACATAGTCACATGGGGCGAGAAGGTACGCTCAGTTACCATCGTATGTACATCTTTTACTAAATTGTTCCAGAATTCTGGCCTAGTAGTGTTTCTCATAAAAGCATTTCCTGTAATTATATTTTTGTTCCTCTGTTTATTGCAGTGGTTACAATTGACTCAATCAAGAGCAGCTAAAAGCAAAGATTGGATGTCATCAGTCTGGGATACAGCATATTTTGTGGGTCCTGGGGTCATCACAGGGTAACCCCTCTGTACATTTACATTACACTTACCATTTCCGGGGCTGTGTTAGAGATTTATATTTGTTGTACTTGACTTTCCACTCAAGAACATCCTTGCAGTGTTGACAGAGTCCATCGTGGATCTTGGAATTTGCTTTCTACGTTCACAGCATGTTAAAGATACATAGATTACAATTTACACAAAGCTACTGACTAATAAAAAAATCGTACTATGCATATTCAAGTACAGTCTATTGCTGCCCTCGATAGTCTAGTAAACAAGTCTTACCTTTACTTGTACACTCGCTCCATATTTGTCGTTTTTGAAGGCGATGGTGTTTTGGTACTTCTGGCCTCGCGAACGAGACGTGTTACCCCTCTGCGAACTCATAATGAGATTAATTCGGTGTTACTAGTTCACACATGGTATAATGTTACCACCGTGCTACACGAGAAGGAAAACCTGACCCGGAAGTAGTTTCCCCTCGCCACAGGAATGGGGCAGATTTGTCGCCACCCACTGGCGCAATGCTCAAAGTGATCTTTGTCTTTTCTTTCATGTGTTTTCTTTGTAGAATATTTCAATGTAACAAATAACTCACGACAAACATAAAAAAAAAGCTATAAATCATCGGACAAAATATGACACTTTGTAGTATCGGCAGTTTCGCCAATAGTATTGGTTCTTGTCAACGTCAATCGAAACGTCAGTCACCGCCACTCAATGATGACGTGTACGCCTATTTAACGCCTACAAACTGTCCTATAGGTGGAGTAAACATAATCGTGCAGCTGCCATTGGCTCACAACGCTGTCCATCACCGCCCTTTATCCTCCCGGAGGCAAGATAGCAATCTGAGCGGCGATGTCTCGTGAGTCAAGTGATACTGGTGTCAACTGCTTGTTAATACTCAACACGGGCTGATGCCAAACCGCCAATAAATTTAAATATCATCCACTGTTTGTAGTAACACATGTCGCTTTCAAATCGTGTGGATTTTTATGTTAATCGGCTTCGTTAAGTTACGTTCAGAATCCTATGTGGACGAAACCGAGCGGAGGCAGGAAAAGGAGCCGCCACGGAAGCTGCCTCAAGTGGAGGACGAAGCCTTTTGAACGCCAGTGACTCTACCATACAGCATCGCCCTTCTACAAGACGACCGACAGCACCGTGGGGATACTCCGTGTTTGGGATAACATCTACACATCTTCCTGTCTTCTAGAAAAAGAAGATACATTAATTGGCTTGACGACAAAAAAAAAAAAAAAACAAAGCTTGAGTATCGTCTGGAGACTGGAAGGGAAACACAGCAGACATCCAGGTAATGTCACAGACCGACATTCTCATCTTCAGTTTTTGTTTAAAAAAATACATTCGCACACACATATAGGCGTGTATCGCTAATTACCACCACTGACGAGTCACTGCAACCTCAACCAACCAGTTTAGAATCAGTGTAAGCTCGCCCATTGCTGCCTTTCCCACCATTTTAGAGTCCCCGGCAATGCACCACCGAGCAGGGCTCGCTTTTTTGCCCACTAGCCGGGGAGATGATGGACTAAGGGTTGACTAAAATGTGAAAACTAACAACTTCCCCCTTCTATGTGTTTAGCTGCTTTGAGATGCCACTGCACCTTCACTAGACCAGAGCAGGGGACATTAATGAGGTTCTGTTAAATTAAAATAAAAGCCGACTACCTCTCTGTAATTAAAATGCAGGCACTCGTCACCCATCCAAACCCTCCATTCAAGTTTGAGTCAATAGACTCCGGTTCATTACCAATTCTAATCTGATACCTCTGTCTGCTGGAGCTATCAAGACCTCATCAATGTAAAGTGATCATTTTTCTGGTGATAATTGGCACCACAACAAAAACACTTTAAATACAGGTCACACACACTTAACCAATTTTTAATCATATTAACCAGTTTTAGATACTCAAGATCATCAATACATCACACCACACACGAGGGATGCACTAATAGTCTGTTTTATAGACTGAGTACTTACAATTTCAGTACTGTATTTATATTTGAGTACTCAATGGTGGTCTTAATCCGAACAGGTTAGGGAAATGCTGCACAACACCATCAGAGACTATTGAACATGAATGCGTGGTGGCAGGCAAGGGAGGAAGAGAGAGACTGACACCATATCAAAGTGTTGCTTAGGTGGTTTGGTGTTTTCACAAGACATGCCTTAACTGCGCAACTCTCCTTAAGCGTTTTCCAATTTTAATATTTTTTTCAAGAGAAAAACCTTCGTCTTGTTCTTTCAGGTTTGACGAGTATGCTGTATATATTTAGGCGTTAAGGTGTTTGCCCTTGGTTTCATTTGTGGTTTTCAGTTTCACCCAACAATTTTTATTGCAGTGCATCCCCACTAATGGCACAAATAAATAGGATCTAATCAACTCATTCTTACATCACTGCAAACTGCAACCAAAATAACAAACTTATGGTTAAATATGTTTCTCTAAATAAAATGCCATCTTTACATCTCTGAAGACAGTAGGTTGATGTGGCTCTACACCTAATGTTCTAGCCAGTTGAAGTAGTTTTGCATTTGATGGCCGCTTTCAAAAATGGTGGTGGTGGTGGTGGTGGGGGGTGGGGGGGGGCGCTCACATGTTTGTGGGACAAGCATTGGCCCGAAGGCATGTGGCAAATGCTTCAGAAAGCCTTTCTCTCCTATCTGACACATTCAGTAAAGCACAGAAGCAGAAAGAACCCCACACTCTGAATTGCACTGACGCCAAATCCACAAAAGGACAGTAAAATAGTACTTGCACAAGTTCGGCAAGAGTACGGTGGGATGTGGTGAGTTCTCAGTTTCATCACAAACATCATAATACCCATCTGATGAAGGGACCAGGTTTAGGGTTGGCATAGTGGGAAGTCATCTCAAAATTTCCATTACGCATCAGGACAATGACACAGTTGCCAAACCAATGACATTTATGTTAAATACATCACGCAGAGTGTCATTACAAAGGGGCCCTTTAAGCCTACATTGGAAATGACGTGTGCAATGTACGCCGCCTTCCCGGAAGCGAATGAAGCATTTCCACCACCCAGATTTTGACAAAGTGCAGCGTTAATCTTAACTGCAGGCACCTCTGCTTCTCAGGAGCATCACATAAGTCAAAAGGCAGCCTTAGGTGGGGCCCAGGTGCCAGCTGACTGATGCCTGAGTGCTTGTAAAACCTTGAGGCAGACAGGGAAGCTGCGCTATTTACAGATGGGGCTGTGTCCCTATCGACCTGCTTCGAGAGAACCTTGCATCTCCTAATGCCCAAATATCATTTTCTCCCCACAGTCCAAACTTCTACTTAACGAGTAGACCAAAGCAAGTTTCCCCTCACCCAAAGTAGACGTTTTGTTCAACCACAGAAGCCGAACGAAAACTCTGCCATTTCAACAGGGGTGTTCAAAAGAAATGGAGGAATGTGCTGTTAATTCTTGCTCCTTGTGGTATTTTGAAGTTTTTTTTTTTTTTTTTTTTTTTAATTTGTGAAACAACATAAACGTTTCTCTTTTCAAGTTTGTAAAAGAGGCCTTTAAGAAAAGTTCCAGGACTGGTTATTTCAAGGCAAAACTATCGGTTTTCCCCATCAATATGCACGGCTGTGGCGGACCCGTTTTGAAGTTGTGGATGACATCAAGACGCTGTGGAGGATCCCGAAAGATTCCTTTCATCAGTGCATGCAGATATGACAGACAAGGTTGAGAGGGTGTTCGACTCCAGGGATAATACTTTGAATGGGAAAACTTAAATATATATTTTGTGATGTCAGTCCCGGGAGTTTTCTGACACACCTTGTTCTTAATGAGTCATTAGTAAAGAGTGAAATGATTTCTTTGCATGGTGTTTTCCTCAGACAAATCTTTCCTGCTTTTCAAGGATGAACCACTTATCCTTCAGCGAGCTTTGTTGCCTCTTCTGCTGCCCGCCGTGCCCCAGCAAGATAACGGCCAAGCTGGCTTTCCTGCCCCCTGAGCCCACCTACAGCTTGATGTGCGATGAGAGCGGCAGCCGGTGGACGTTACACCTGTCTGAGCGCGCCGACTGGCAGTACTCGTCCCGCGAGAAGGAAGCCATCGAGTGCTTCATGACGCGCACCTCCCGGGGCAACCGGATCGCGTGCATGTTCGTCCGCTGCTCTCCCAGCGCCCGCTACACGCTGTTGTTCTCCCACGGAAATGCGGTGGACTTGGGCCAGATGAGCAGCTTCTACATCGGACTGGGTTCACGGATCAACTGCAACGTGTTCTCCTACGACTACTCTGGTTACGGCGCCAGTTCTGGGAAACCTTCCGAGAAGAACCTGTATGCTGATGTGGACGCCGCCTGGCAGGCACTCCGCTCACGGTAAGGAGGCTTGAAAGTGACGGACACATGTTGGAGTGAATGTCAGACACTGAATGGACATTGCATCATCATGTGTGAGCATGCTTAAGAGTGAAGGAAGCTACATGCGCATGGGATGATATCGTTAACGTTGTGTTTTTTTTTTTTGTTCATGACTTCTTCGGGGATGTCGTCAAGCATGATGAAACACACCGTTTTATTGCGTCGCTCGTTTTCCTTCTTTCTTTAAATCTGATGTGCGACCCGTGCGTCAACCACTTTTGCGCCCCATTGTTTATTTGGAGGAGCAACGGGAAATGGTATAATGTTCTACGCGTTTCCTGCTATAAGACAAACGGCCAACAGCAGCTTCAACCAAAAAAGATGAATGAGACCCGAGTTGTGCACTTCTGTGTTACCTCTGCCAAGAAGATTCTTTCCGTTGACATTTGTCTGACCGTTGGCAAATGTTTTTGTGAATGAGTGTGTGTTCTTTGCGTTTCCTGCGTGGCTTAAGTTGGAGTAGTCACAATACATTTGAATGTACAAAGAACTTGGCAAGTGAGCAATAACATGCGCGGCATAATGACACTCTGGTTGAGTCCATCGAAATCTTCCATTTGGGTCAGACTACAATATCTGGAGCAAGAATTTGAGCCTCTGTTAGTGTTCATGAAAGGGAAGTTATTGACCTATCAGTGTCAGTCACATGGACCTCTTCAGTGAAAAGAAAATCAGACGTTTAGGAATGCTTCCTGCAGCAACATTAGAAAGTTGATGTGAGGCTGTCAGTCTCCCAGTTGCAAATTCATTTACGTTGCATTTACGTCTGGGCTCTTCGGACAATGGAGGCCACTGTTAGGCGAAAGCAGTGTAGGACCGTGGCTAAGAAAAGTAGCACATTGTAGCATTTGAATGACATCAGATTATTATTATTATTATTTTTTTTTTGGTAGTCGACACTAAATGTGATGAAATGTCGAGCTGAAGTACAATACTCTATGGCGTCACCGATATGCACTGACGTCAGTGTTGTAAATTGTGATGTTGGTGCGTGTTGAATAATCCAACGTCCATGCTGAAAAAGTTCCGCTTAGCACAGTTCTCCGTGCATTCCTGGACGTACGTAAGATT